CAGGTGTTCTGCCGTGCGTCGTTGAGGGATGTTTGCTGATCCGAAGAGGAATGATGCAGTAAAGACGCGGAGGAGATGAAGGTGACATGAGTCTCGTGGGGCCGGCGGGGTGAACCAGGGACGGATTTGGCATATTGCGGTAGAAAAATGGAGGTTTACACTTTGGCGATGTGGGGGTCGAGGGAGAGGGTGGGGTTTGAATATCACGCCAAAGGTTGCGTGCCTGGGTGGAGGGGGAACAGGGGTGCCATCGATGGTGAGTGTCAGGTTGGGGTTTTGCTGAGGGTGGATTTGGAGCCGATGAGGAGGAGTTTCAGTTTTATTGCTGTTGATTTGAGGAAGTTTGTGTTGCATCCAGGATTTTATTGCAGTCAGACAGGATTCGATGTGTGTGAGAGGGGGGTTGTGGGGGGATTTGGTGCTGAGGTAGATCCGTGTGTCGTCAGCATAGCAGTGAAAGTCCAGGTTGTGATGGCGGAGAATCTGACCAAGGGGGAGGATGTAGAGGATGAAGAGGAGGGGGCCGAGTACTGAACCTTGGGGAACACCTTGGGTGACTGAAGCTGTGGTAGAGGAGTGATTAAAAAGACCTGAAACGTCACTATGTGAGCATGCAGCCACATTCTGTTGTATACTTAAATTATTGTATTTATTATGTGATTTGGATTCATTCCAATGTCAATCACATGTAATGATATTTACCTTTAGACTTCATCTGTCATGTTATACTTCCAATCTCCAGGGATCGTTTGGTGAAAACGCTCACTGAATGTGGATACACTTTCCAGGAGGTCATGGTCTCACCCACAAGTGTAAGAAAAACACAGTATGAAAATGTCATTGAATACATCTTCACTTTAAGTTGGATTTATTATATTTATTTTCTATTTTTTAAATCCAGGTTGGGATCCCAAATTCAAGACTGCGTTATTTCCTGATTGCTAAGATTTCAACAGAAAACCTCAGCATCCAGAGTTCAAGGGTGAGACTAGCTGTTTCAAATAAAATACTAGTTAGCTTCCAATGTTGACCTAATTTGGAGCTCGCATACCTCTTCTTGTACAAAGCATAGTTCAAATATAACATATCTATAATTGTTGGATATTTTATTATGTTAGAACCCCAGAATAGTGTTTGTATCCTCATGCGTCTTTTGATAAAGCTTGTAATCTTAGATTTTAGATGCCTTCCCACATCCCGCTGAGCAGCCCAAAGTCCTGAGTCCCAGCGCAGACACCTGCCAGCCTGAGGAGGAAGTGCAGGAGGGTCATGTCCTGTACAAGCTAGAGACGAAGACAGATGCTCAGAGGAAGATGAGCCAGAACAACGATCTGTCTCTCAGGCTGATCCAAGACTTCCTGGAACCACAGATAGACATGGAGCCGTATCTCCTTCCTCCTAAAACCCTGCTGAGATACGCTCTGCTCTTAGACATAGTTCGGCCCACATGTAGGAGGTCTGTTTGCTTTACCAAAGGGTGGGTACTCTTCAAAATTACTCTATTAGTGCAATTTTGGCAGAAGAAATGCATGGCAACTGGAAGCAAAACTCAGTGACACTTATATGGGATAACATGGCAGAAAAAAACATTAATTTGAGTCGTTTTTTTAATTGACGTGTTAATGTGTTGTATCTCTAGATATGGGCGGTATGTGGAAGGAACTGGCTCAGTTATGCAGGGCTGCGTGGAAACAGAGGTAGGTTTTGATTTCAGTACGGGCACATTTATATTATTGTTCAAAGTTTGTTTTGCCACATTTTTAATTGTAAGTGTGTTGAGGGCTTTTGCTTTGTGTGCTCTGCAGATGGAGAGTGTGTTTACAGGTCTGGACCAGTGCGCTGAAGATGAGAAACTCCAGCGGCTGTTGAAACTGAAACTTCGTTATTTTACTCCTAGAGAAGTTGCCAACCTCATGGGCTTTCCTCAAAGCTTCAGTAAGTTAAAAAAAATCAGACAGATTTATATTGATTCCTCTTTTTAACTTATTCATAATGTGATATTGTGTTTCTATTTGTATTTAATGGATTGCTGCACATTCCCAATTGTGTACATGTTGTCTAAATCTGTTTTTAATTAATGTTTCAGCCTTTCCGAAGAAGACCACTACCAAGCAGCAGTACAGAGTTCTAGGAAACAGCCTGAATGTCGTGGTGGTGGCCAGACTCCTGCAGGTGCTGCTCTCCTAGCACTCAGCACACTCTGAAGGAGAAGAATGTTAAGTTTGATAAATTGGGCCAACTTGAAAGTGAACAGTTTCATGATTCTTACATTTCACTTCAGACAGTACATTTATATTTTGGCTGGATATTCATATGTTTGTTTATATGCTTTTTTAAATTAAATTAAAAGAAAAAACTAAATTTAACCTGTGAAGTATTTTTGTTTCTTTTATGTTTTTACGGTTTTTACCTCATGGTTTTAGGGTAGGAAGGTTTTTACTGTCACATCAAGGATTCAGTTGTTTCATATTGAGGATCATTTTTAAACTACATGCTATACTTTATATGGGTTACATTTAAATGTAGCATCAGCAACATGCTTTAACAATTAGGCTAATGTTAATTAATGTATATTTTGCCTGCAGTCACTTAGCACATGATAGATGTTTTTAATGATGCAGATGTGCTTTAGTAAAAAAGTTAACTAACTCATAATATTCGATGTTAAATAATAGATGGACATATAATGTTACGTCGATATGAGTGAGATTATACACTAAGAAAGTTATTAGTTTCAACGAACTAAGACATATACGTCTTTTGACCGTTTGACCTCACCATGTAAATGTTAGGCTAACATGAATGCTAACTTTTTAGCATGACGCTAATTTAAAGACAAATTTAGATCTATCAAATGTAAACATCGAACGAACCTGGAAGCAACGATGTTTCGCACCAGAAGGAAGTACCTTTATCCTTCCAAATTTGGTAAGTTAACTTTCTGTATAACCTTATATATCTTATGAAGTATAAAAGCAGGGGGAAAACGATATTTTGAAAATCAATAAAATATACAAAATTAAGGAGTTACCAAGTTTGTGTTCAGTAGCTAGCTAAACAGTTGAAGTTAGCTATTAGCAAAGAGGACACATTAGTTATAGCACGGGCAACTAAAGCTGAAGCTATCCATGAACGTTCTCCATACTCTATCTATTTACCAGTTAGGCAAATATAGACAATTCGTTTTGTTTTTGTAATTGTGTGTTTTCTTCGCCCACTATGGTTTGCTGAAATAGTGTTGAAAAATAAAAAAGGTATTGGAGAATGCGGGCATCGATCCCGCTACTTCTCGCATGCTAAGCGAGCGCTCTACCATTTGAGCTAATTCCCCGTCCGGATCTGTTGGTGTCAATGTGTGTATTTAAAACCACCAGAGGACACATTTACAACTGAAGCTAACGTTTGAAAAAGGGTATCAAAATGATTTCGGACAGAACAGATGCGGCTTTTTAATACTTTAACGAAATTGTATTCGTTTGTTTCTCTGTATGGCTCTACGTTAAATGTGCATTAGATCTTCAAATCAATATGTTTCTGATGTTGTAGCAGCTCCCTTCGATAGCTCAGTTGGTAGAGCGGAGGACTGTAGTGGTTACATGGAAATCCTTAGGTCGCTGGTTCAAATCCGGCTCGAAGGAGGTGTATCTTTTCCCTTTTGTACATTTAGATTTACCGCATTCTTTTAGCATAGCAAGGACAGACTTGTAACTTGATTCTTTACATTGAAAAGTAAACAATCAAAATAAATGTCACAAAAACTGGCTTATCATGGTTGATCTGCATTGTAATGATTGTTCTTAACAGTCATTTTAATCTGTAAAAAATGTTATTAACAATGTTGCAGGAACAAAACACTTCTCTTGTGTTTTTTAACTTATTCCTTAATATAAATTGACACACCACAAATGTTCCATTAATAATATAATAATAATAATAGATTTAATTTCTTAGCGCTTTTACAGGTGCTCAAAGACGCTTTACAGATAATAGTGAAGAAAAAAGAAAAGAGAAGAAAGGAACAACAAATAAATATATAGTTAAAGTTAAAGTCAAATAATACAAAAACAATCACACATGAAAATGCGATAGGAGTAAATGTAGTTTGGTTAATCCCTTAGTCGTTAACATTGCACTTGTTTTAAATGCTCAATTTAAATATAACAGGGCTTGTTTACTGTAAACTCTTTATACCGAGGCATGTTTTTGCATCCAGGCACATGTGTGTATGATAATGAGATAAACAGGGATACTAAGGTAACTATTTTCCTTTTTTTATTTTTAGACTGTGAGCTTCTTCCGTGACAGTGAAGCCAGTATAGCTCCAGCATAAGAAGCTTCCCATTGGCTCGTGTGCAGGACTTCTTCAGCGCCAGGTCTTCCTCTGAGTTGTAGATAACACCTCTAAGCTCAGATCAGACATCCTTCTGTATCATTTACCTGTTACAAAAAGCCAGGTAAATGACCATGTACTGAACATCCAACCAGACATTACAAAATGCTACTACACATTTAACTCAAATCAAACTTGTGGTTATGCTGTTACATTTTGATCTTATGATTCATACTCCTTTGTGGATGGAAACAAGAGATGTGTCACTTCAGTAACACATGAATAACAAATCAAGTTTTCACACATTCATGAAATCTGGGACTCATTTTGTTTAGCACGTCAGGACTTATTATTTTATACTAGCACTACATGCTTTTTCACATTGTACTTTTCCAAGTCTGGAAATGCAAACTGTAAGTGTTAGTAGAAGGTGTCAGGTTTGCAGCATTTCGCTTTTTATTTGGCAGGCATTAGTCTAGTATTGGAAAATATAAACCTAAAATCAGTTCCGCTCCACAATTAATACATTCTGATTACAAACTAGCAATCCATATATTTTCAAATATTCTTAAGATATACTTTATTTAACCTAAATATTACTTTAATTCATTTTTGACTCTACAAGCACACTGTCCATGCAGTTGCTATTTTTCACCACCAGGTGGCTCCAAATACACACTATACCTGTACATTCTTATCCGTTAGTAATCTAATAGAAAAGTATGCTACAGTATAAAAATGCTGTTTATTTCTTTTAATTTGACCTGATAATAATAGCATCAACTTAAAAAAATTATGAATTAGTCATGAAAATAATTAAGAGCATATGATGTCAGATCAACTATACAATTGTAAATCTCATGTGTGTTTTTTTTACAGATGCACAAAGAATATGTATGTCAGAAAAGCACAATAGATGTAGAATGGGAATTTGAGTGATCGATAATGACTCTTATATACCAACAGTGTCATCCAAGAGTAACAGGTAAATCAATTAGGGACACCTCAGCGGATTCCACTCTCTCTCCAGAGAGCTCGGCTAAAGTGCAGTCAGGGGATCGGGGCTTCAGATACTGTACCTGCGACCTCCAGGGGAATCAGCAGGTATGCAGCTCACCCGTAACCAAAGCTCCAGAGGCTGACTCTAGAGTAGTTAAACACAGCTGCCATGCTTCGAAGATGTGTGCTAGTTTCCGTGTATGTGTGAAGGTGGCAATGTAAATGTCTGTGGAAGAAATTAATTAACAAAAATGCCTCCCCAATGTGCAGTGAGAGGAGTGTAAAATATGTGCAGTCCGGTGCACACACACGTGATGGGCCATTGACGCAGTTTCAGAGTTGTGTGGCAACAACAGGTTGCAAAAACTGAACTGCCTTTGTGTGTTTGACATTCTTGCTTTATTTGTAGCAAAATACTTCTAGATGTGAAAGGTCGTTTTTTACCATCAGTCCAGATAAAGTAAGATAAGGTAAGATGGACCGTTATCGACCCGCTGTTGGGAAACTCATGGTCTTATAGCAGCAACTATAAGACAGAAACACAGGGATAATAAGAATACAAATGAAATAGTTCAAAATAAAGTAGCAGTAAACATACAATTGAGTATTCTGCTCCATCTTACAATCGTTCAAAACAGTTGATTTTCTAGTTTTGTTTAGTAGTTTAAAACACGAGTACCTCATTTTAGATAAAATGTAAGTCAATGCACATGGTTACCTCTCCATACGTTGTTTATTCTAATATCTTTACACCCCTGCTACTGTCTGTGAAAGGTTTGTTTTTGTGTTTTGCAGTGTTGCCTGGAAGAGATGCAGGACCTCTTTGTGGGGGGTATGATTGTGGGGAACTGCATTCAGACCCGTGGAAATGGGGAGGGGGATTATGCCTCCATTGGCACTGGGCCTGTCCGTTGCCATGGCACGTCCATTGTCCCCCCCAGCACATGGGCATGGCACAGAAACCTCCAGTGAAAACATTCATTTTCTACTGCTCTGTTCTTCTTGGGGAATTGATTCATGAAGACACCTTATCATGCAACAACAACAAATCAATGGTCATTATCTTGTCACATTTGGTGCCGACAGACAGACCTAGACAGTAAAATGAGTCACTCTACATTCCAATCAGCATTTGTTTTGAGTCACCACAAACAGTCATACGGATCAAATTGCCTTAGCCTGACAGAGCTGCAACCTTTTTGCTGTTTTTTTTCTAGGCTGTATTTCAAACTCTCTGTGACTCTCAGCTCCCAAGTAGTATGAGTCATGAGAGGAAGGTAATCACAGGCAATGATGTGGACCGCTGCAGGGCAAGCCCCGTTGTGGAGGAATACCCTTGAGAAAGTCCACGCCGTTTGCAAACGACTGCTCATATAGGGCTTGGGATCGCCCTGGCTTCATAACCAATCGCGTCATTCGGGTCATACATCCTACGTGCTTCTATCCAATCAGCGTTGAGTTTATAAAACCAGCCTTGCCACTATTGGTTCATTTCAGACAAGGGCGTCTTTTGCTCGCTCCAACAGCACCATCTCTGGCAGGTGGTGTGTGCTTTAAAACCATACAGTAGGGTAATGTTTAGGACGATAGGTAGGTAGTTATAGGGGAATAAACACACTTTAGGTTGTTAATTTGTCGACTTTTGTTTCGTAGTTTTGTTTTACGTGCCATTACGTCTCCTTTGAAGCAACCGGAATCGCAGCGAGTGAGATTACCGTCGGGGTTCCCCTCTCTGAGACAGACACTTTGTGCTTTACAAGCGGTGAATTGCTGCTTCTTCATCATGCAGAAGAAAGAGGGAAAAGCCCTACATGTTGATTATATTTCGGCTCCGGTGTAAGTCTGAATGAGCGAAGAACCTCCCGGCGACGACTGAAACCAGGGGCTCACATCCCGGATCTGCCTCACCTCATCCGCCGGTGTAGCAATATACAATATGTTGTGTTGATTTTTTTTCTGGAAGTGGTCGTGCCTTTTGTTTTCATTTCGGGATATGTGATATGCGGATCCGCGAACGCAACGAAACGCAAATGAGTTTTTTCTTCTGCTTTGAAAATGAGGAAGCGTTTTCATAAAGACCCAGAAAATGGCAAGAAGGTCTCGTCGTCCGTGGGCCCGGATTTGAGTAAAATGAGAAAGAAAGGAGCAAATGCAACAGCAGCATGATATCTTTTTTTTGCCTACAGAATGACACCAAAGGAGGTAAAAAAGGTGGCGGTAAATAAGACGCAGCATCAATGAAGGCGATCTGGACAAGTTTTGAGTCGCTCATAATGAACAGAATTACTTTGCAGCTCGACAGCAGATCCTTTCCACAATATTGAAGATTGTTTTTGGCTTGGGAGATTTTCTAATTCACCAGTATTCTGCATTTGTTAACAATTGTTGATTACATTTTAGATTTCTCTGTTTTTAAAAAAAATACTTTTGATCCGGATCCAGCCCTGACTATTCAATGGAAGTATGTTATCAGCTGCCGGTTTTGCCTCTAGACAGGCCGGTTCCCAAGCATGTCCTCAGCCGGAGGGGAGCCATTAGTTTCAGCTCCAGCTCTTCCCTCTTCGGGGCTCCTGATCCAAGACAGCTGTCACAGGTAAAAAGACCTTTTTTAAATCTCTTTATTTATCATTTTGTCACAGTGGGTTGAGATATGTGAATCACACAGGCCTTAAAACCAGCACCTTCTTCTAAACAAATATATGAATAATCCACAGGAATCTTGCAGGTGGTTGTTGGATATCTAGGCCCTAACACACACAATGAGCACTCACTTGCACACACAACATTTTCTTATCTCTCAGACCCAAAATACAACCTGAGACCACTTTGCATGTGTGCATGTTACCCACAGATAAAGGCCCTCTCACTTTAACCATCAATGTCAGTTTACTGCCAGAGTAAAAGCAGTTTACTTTTGTGACTCTGTATTGTCAGGAGGAACGTGCCACATTGTTATTTATGCAACATCCCATGACACATTGACAGAAGAAACCTTCATCATTGAGTCATACTTGAGCTTCCTGCTTTCTCAGAGACCTGAACTCTTGGAAATGTGCCTCTTGTAAGCCTGCCCCTATATTTCAGCTGTGGTGAATGAAAGGAAAAGGTAGGCCACAACAACAGTCATCATGTTGTGGCGTCACGTTTTCTTTGACTCTTTTGTCTCTGAAAGAAAAACTTGACACATTACTTTGTATCTCCAATGTATTTAAGCCAAACATTGAGTCACTGCATATCTGAGATGATCTACTATGCATTACCCCTTTGTGTGGTACACTTCCCTAACTGACTGTAACACGAATGTTCCTGTAACCTCAGCTCAGATGGTCGCACATCAAGTCGTACATCAGTTCCTCCTCTGCGTCACAGTTTTAAAACACTAAAACCTCCTTACTATTGCTTCAATAGATTTGCACAACAGCAGCCGGGGTTATACTCCTCTCTCTGGGTCATGTCCTGCTAGTTGGTCATGGACAGTAACTCCCATAGCGTTGCATGGCATCCTTCGACACATTAACTACGCATTAAGTCACTGTGTTTGACCGTGTGAGCGTGCTCTACAATGGATCGTCCATTAGTGCTTTGTGTGAAACGCTGCTCCACATAACCACCCATGTGTGTCCGCTTTGAACCTACCACACCATCTCTGGCCGCTGCATCAAAGACTAATGCATAGCCTTGGCTACCAAAGGCCCTCAGTGTTGCTCGTCCTCACTGGTCCCTTTTGTCCGCTGGGTTATTGGTGCTTTTGATAGATGTTATAAGAATAGTGGATAAGCTAGCTGGAGAAGACCTTTCTGTTCCTGCACTCAGTTGTTTATGACCAAATTACTATAAGGCCTGCACACTCTACCTAGGTACCACCGTTAGCCTAAAACCAAACAAAGTATTTCCAGTCCGTTAGAACACGTCTCAAATGAACAATGTCCCATTGTGTGCTACTTTCATGAAAGTAAGACTAATCCTAAGGCCTGAAGCAGCCTTTTGTCTTTGTGGTTCTTGGACCTTGCTTCTAAGACCACAGCCCCAAACAAGGGGTCCCTTGAGAGGGCCTAGACATCAGGAGCAAACCCATCTGGGCATAATGCTGTATGCTTATGGTCTGCATAAAAACCCAGGTGTAAAGCTATCGTGTCTTTAGGTCAGTTCACCAGTTTTTTTTTCTCAAGTGAGCCAGAGTTCATTTAGTGATTGTGGTGTGCATGGTTTGTACTGGTATAATGCCCCTTTGTTGTGAAAGAAGGAGGACAAGCAGCACACTTTGTAGTGTGAAATGTGTTTCCAGTGAAAACCTAATGATTTGCATGTCATTTTTGTGGAAGAATATTTAAATCGCACAAGGTTTACCAACACTTTTATGCAAAGCAAGAAAGCACCAACGAGGGATTCAACATAAAGACCTGCTGACATGGACATTTGCCTTTTTTCTTCCCTACACAGTGGCAGAGCTGGGTGGACATGTATACACACATGCGGCTGTGTCACTCAGCCTTTGTCACAGCAATTACACTACTACAAATATTGTGTTTCGGGCCCTATTCCTGACCATAAGGGTGCATCTGTCCTCGGTGGCTTCTGTGTTTTTGTGTGTGGTTCCACAGGCCTGTTGTTTGTGGAAGCATTTCTGGACTACCATTGCAGAGAAAGGCAGTTAGACATGTGCCCGGGCTCTGTGGGCAGTGGTTTGGCTCGCTGCCACACTCACAGATGGCCGGAGTCTCAGTCTCTTTTTTATTTCTCTGGCTATCTTGTTCTGCTCACTCACAAACTCCCTCCCTCTCTTTCTTTCTTTCTTTCTCTTCTGCCCCCTCCCGTTCCCTCGCAGATGAAGACATTTCCTCTTGTAAACAGAGGCAAAAGAGTAGGGTTGAAGACGCGGCAGGGTCTCAGAAGAATATGTCACTCTGTGGTCCTGGAATGTTTATGATGGGGTGTAAATATGCTGTCGAAGAGGCGTTGAAAACGGCAACGACATTAAAACAGATGGTCTCATTTTATCTAGAACAATGCCTCTATTGTTTTTATTGCAATGCATGTTGGCTGCTTGTTGATTCGTTCCTAAAATTGAGTTGGAAGATGCTGTTCCACTCTGCTGCTGGCTTCTCTGCAGTGAAGGCTAAACACAGTCTGAGATGAGATTGGTGCAGAATGAAAGGAGCAGTAATACGACACAAGGAGTAAACAAAGTCATGTGGTTCCCGTCTAAACACTTACGGCACATTAAGTTACGTTGGCCTTACTACACACATTCACGAGACGTTACACATGGCAGCAGTAAGACCCGACGGCTGTCTGTCATGATGTGTAACACATTCACACACAGTTCCATGGTGTTGATGAGGCTGTGTTATTGACATTTTCCAAAAAAAGAATCGATAGCGGTATCGATGAGGCCCGAGTAAATCATATAACAGTCACAGATATCCTCCATGAGTATGTCGGCCACTGACCCCAGATCAACTCCGACGTTTGGGGGGCAGGAGATGATGAGAGGCCTGTGTGCAAGAATGGGAGATATCGCTGCTTGTTTCGTCAACACTATGGATGTTTCTGTGCACGACATGATAAGAGAATACGCCACAGTGCTTCTTTCTGAGGGAGTTACTTTGTTGATTTTAACTGAACCGATAAGCTTTTTCTTTTCTGCACATTGCCATCGGATTGACGTAGTTTCAGGATGTGGTAAGAATGCTGAAGGAGCCGTTCAGACACTGAGCCTGGTGTGTTTCACAACCTTTCACAAAAACGTTAACCCTCTCCCCGCCAGAGTTTGCCTTTCGGTGAAATGTGCGCAAACCAGCCGGTACAGTCTACCGAGCGAGGATGTGTATTATTTAGTAAACAAACCGGAGTAGTACCTCACATCCTGTCTTCGTTTATACATACACACTTTCTCTGTCTCTCGGTAAGGGGGCCCCTCTTATCACATGACCATTCTGTTTTTGTGCTTTAGTGTTGAGTGCAATCGGCCGTGAGATTGTGTCTCCGTACATCAACACACCAACGGACACAATGTCAGGGGGGGCCAACTGCGCCTGCTGAATATGAATCATGTTAACTGTAGTCCTATAGACAAATGAGATGAGCACATACAGGATGTAGGAATTGATATAGCCCTGTTGCTAGATTTAAACACCAAATAGCTGTCCGCAGACGCACCGGTTGTCGACTCGGGTTTTGTTTACTCTCCTCAGAAGGTTAAGAGTTGCAAAGGGGGGGAGCCTTACGATAGCCCAGAGAAGCAATTAGAGCCTGGGGATGATGTTTTAGATGAATGAAATTCCTGTGCCGGGTAGACGGCCAGTGAGAATATGAAGCAAATCTACCTCCTCCCCCACTCCTCAACTCCACTTGTGTCATCGAGCACCGCTAAAAGCACATTTATACAAGGCCCCCTTTTAAAGCCGTCTGCTAAAGAAGGCTTAAATCATTTCAACACACTTTCCAGTAAAAGAAAACTGCATCGGTTGCAGATATATTACAGCCCGACAAGCACGCTGCTTTGTTCTTTAGCGACAACACTGCTCCGTCATTCTCTGGCTGAGGCATCGGGCCAATACACCCCAGCTCCCCCCCCCCTCCCCCTCTCAGAAACTCACTGCAGCTGGAGTGTGTCAGAGTGGAGAGAGTTCTCATAAAACACTTACAACAGGTAGACTCCATCTAGGGCTTTTGTGTATGCAATGGCTGGTGCACGAATGCACACATACTCACTCACTCCAAACCTGTCCACATTTATGGCCTAGCACTCAGTTACTGGAATGTGCCGTCCCACACAGCACAGCGCTGCAAGAGGTCATAACTCACAAGGATGCTTTCAGTTTATGAAACTGCGCTGAGTCCGGCTGCTTTTATCGTGTGTGTGTGTGTGTGTGTGTGTGTGTGTGTGTGTGTGTGTGTGTGTGTGTGTGTGTGTGTGTGTGTGTGTGTGTGTGTGTGTGTGTGTGTGTGTTTGTTTCTGATAAGTCAGTTTCTAGAAATACTGCTAGCTTCCTCATTTGCTTGGCCTTAGCTCGTTTACTGACAGTGCAAAAGGCTTGTCCTCAGCAGAAACCTCATTTCGAAGCTGAATGACATCATAAAGACCGTTTGATGTCCTTTTTGTTTGGAACAAGGAAGTGTGGGAATGCGACACTGTGTACTAAACAGTTAGATACCATTCAGAGGGCATCAGACTACAATATCGGCTCAATCATAATGCTCAGATTAAAACGCTTTTTAGTTCGTAACCAGTGTCTTTTGAATCAAACACACAATACATTAGGCTGTCTGCTTTGTTGTCTGCATTCAGTCCGATCATAACAAACATTGAAACCTGGCGTTACTCAACCAGTCAGACATTTTGACATTGTGTGCCCTCCTGACCTCGGAAACCTAAACGCTGTGGCCCCCTGGCAGCCAGTCTAAGCCCAGATAAGAAACTGAGCCGTATGTAAACGAGCTCACGTGGAATAGCAGGGAGCACAATGAGCAGACTGTTATGCGAGTAGTAAACTCTAAACAAAACTGAGTTGGCTTGTGCTGCGAGCAAACACAACCTGTCTGCCGCTCCAGGTGCTCAGTTAAAGGCACGCAGAGCATGTTCCCAGTAAACAATGACGGAGTTTAAGTTGACTTTGTGAAGATTTATGGAAGAAAAAAGGAAATAAATGTAGCCTGTAACCAAACAGGTAAACCGTCAACCACACAAGTACATTTCCAAATCCAGGTGGTAGATAGGGTTTGTGTAAGCACTTGCTAGTTAGCGACAACTGTGCATTGTTTGGACTAGATATGCTGTACATATGCCTTTACAAAATATGATGTTTGGGCTGATTAACAGAGGTTGTATTTATGAATGTTGCAAAAGTAATCACTGTGCAGGATTCTTTAGAGATAGAATATTGAAGACTTGACTTAATATCCCAGTGGATCACATTTCTCCCAAGCTTTGCATGAGCCTGAAGTGAAAACCAAAAATGCCTTGTCCAACAGATTGGTAGGAATTGGCCCTGCCTCGTTTGGTGCCAGAGGCTGTGGGTCAGATGCAAACTGGAAGTCAGCTCAAACTCAGCACTGAAGCCACAGCAAAAGTCTCCCAAGCGTCAATTCCCCCTAATGGACACTGGACACCAAGAACCTTGTATTAAAGGGTCTCTATGCAGACATCAGAGCATAAAGCAAGTTGCATAACAAAGACATAAGAACCAAGCTAGCCTGTCTGACCTCTTCATACCTGTGCTGGAACGCAACCATGATGGAAACCCATGATATGGGCTGGAGATGCACAACATGTTCTATCAGATAAAGGAGTTATCAGTCAGTCACTGTTTTAGCTCAATGACGGAAGCGAGCACTACCTGCAGGCCCTTCATAGTTAAATCTTTCATACTTAATTCTTGTTAAGAGGCTGGTCAGTCTATTGTGGCATTTCACAAAGGAGATTATACTCTGCTGGACATCATTCCTAATGTTTCATAAGACTGAAATGTGTGTGCGTCAAGTAGGACAGCAAATCAGACCAATCACATTATTGTTTTATAACCTCTTTTCATGTGGATTTCCTGCCAGTGACCTTAAGTTCAAGTCATGCCTCTGACATCCTGCTTCTCTCTCTCTCTCCCTTATTTCCCCATCACCCTCAGCTGTGAAGCATGAATGACAGAAAAACAAAGCTCACAAGGGGGCTCAAGTTCATTCTGGACCATGACAGGACCACGGGTGATGGTTTTGTGTGTGTTGGCAATACAAGGCGTGGCAGGGGTGTGTATTATGGGCTGCACATCTCAAGGGTAAAACTCGACTTTCCCCTCCGTTCACAGTGGGAATGTGACTTTGAGAAAGTGTTCGCACGACCAGCTCCTTCTTACCAGCTCACATAGGAGCACATGCCAACGTCCACTTAAGTGTGTGTGTGTGTGTGTGTGTGTGTGTGTGTGTGTGTGTGTGTGTGTGTGTGTGTGTGTGTGTGTGTGTGTGTGTGTGTGTGTGTGAAAAAAAAGCTCTGGCCAAAAGGTTTGTTTGGGCAAGTGTTGGCAGGGCTGGTCACTCTTCCATTCCCAGACCTAGAGCCAGTATTACACAGTTCCCACGCATGTTACAGCTGATACCCAGCCCCCTACACACAAACACCGCAACAGCCCATGCATATATACACACTCAATCTATAATATTCCCTTTAACCACTGGTGCTGTGTGTAAACACGGAGATAACCCACCCCGAGTCAAGCTGTTTGCTAGCCGGTAAAATATTAGCTTTGGATTGGCGGCTGTCATGAGCCCACAGGATGGACAGTGTCAGGTGTGTGTGAAGGAGATTCTGAGTAATCCTAAGGATATGAAGTAATGAGTATACAAGCATGGACATTTGTGTTTGTGCTGTGGCCAGTTGGCGTTTGTCATGAAGGGCCAGTCATGCAGGCCCCCTGTGGAATGGGTAACTCTAGACCAGAGGAGTCCCAGAAGGGAGAGGGGAGTCGGCCTGATGGGGGGGGGGGAGAAGGAGAGGAGTGTGGAGTGCATGGAGAGGTGAGCCAAGGTGTAGCCCGGAGCAGCTGTTTGTCGGCAGAGCAAATATTCAGTTACCACAGCCGTACCGCTACAACTACCACTGTGGTGCTGCGGAGGGAAACTGTTGGCACTGAGTTGTAGACACAAGCAAAGATAAAACACACATCTTATCAACTTCATTCTAAAGTCAACAGAAGCACTGTTATTCACAATAACAAAATTACATTGCAGTTTATACATTGAAGTAGCCTAGAAGAGGCGGCGACCATCTTTTGGAAGCACACAAATGCTACGAGATAAAGATCAAGAAGACCAGCTGGTAGAGAATCACAGCTGTCTGAACATCTCCTATCCTCATACTCGATAAGCCTTCCCTGATTTAAGAAAAACAACCATTTTGGAAGACACTGGCACGATTTACAAAGTAGTTTAAATGGTTTATTATGTTACTTATTCATGATGCATAAGGCCTCAGATTCAGCCAGTTCTTTGTGTTTTGTCGGCACATTGATGCCAACCTAATGTAACGTCCAAATCGATATTAAATCAACTGTTATGGAGCAAACCATTATGATCACTTCACTTGGTAGACAAGTTGCTTCTTAGAAAAAAAGTATTCTCGTGATGCCGTTCCCAGAAATGTTGAGTTTTAGTGACATCAAACCTTCAAGGACGACAATGTGAACTGAAACATGCTATTTTTTGATTTAATAGATTATTGGGTATTAGCCATTGGTGAATGAATGGTATTGACTTTTCAAGGGTTATTGTGTTGCATCTGTGTCGTTATTAGTTCCAGCTAACTCGATTGAAATTGCGTTCACCTGCTGGATAAGGAAGTCATTATATACAATTTAATCTTCGTGCATTTTCAACAGTTTTTCGTGAGAGACTTTTAAAGGGAAGTAAAAATGGCTCAGAAAACTTATCGGGTGGGAGGGGACATTTCTATTTGGATAGGACTCAAAGTAATTTCTATTTATGGGAGTGTGTGTGTGTGTGTGTGTGTGTGTGTGTGTGTGTGTGTGTGTGTGTGTGTGTGTGTGTGTGTGTGTGTGTGTGTGTGTGTGTGTGTGTGTGTGTGTGTGTGTGTGTGTCCACATAACACATGCATTTCTCACATGACTGATAGCACTGGTGTAAGTGCCGTATCAGGCTGGTGATATGGCACTGGAACATATTTATCAGTGTTGCCGTTTGTGCACATACACACACACACACACACACACACATAAACACACACCGCAGCACCTCCCTCCACTTCTCAGCGTGTGTTTATGTTAATAATAATTGCCTGTATTTTGTGTTTTTGAGTCGTGTGTGTGCTGAGATGTGGCTGTGATACCACCCACATCCATTTTAAGATGTATTTCTTGTTTTTTAAAACATAATTCATTACAAACCTTGGACAGCTGTTTATGATGTTCCTTCTTGTTTGCTCAGAGACGAGGGGCCATCTCCTACGACAGCTCCGACCAGACAGCACTGTACATTCGCATGCTAGGTAAGTGTTTCCCCTCTATCAGTGCATGCACACAACCATTTACAGCACACACACCCATACACACACATCCCAGACATCAGCGGGCTTATCTTCTCCATGATCATTTCTTAACCCACAATGGCTTTAAAAGCAGCCAGATGGAAAATGGAGGGAGGGATGGAGACATTATGAAGAGATGGGGACACACTAGAGTGCACCGTCCACGGCCTTTTAGTAATCTCTCCATCAGAATAGGTTTACATTGTGTGTGTCTGCAGTGTTGAGTGCCTTTTTTTAAAGTTTGCCCAGGTTTGTTAAGAGTACAGATTGTTGTGCGCCACGTGCTCGCTGCCCTCGGCAACCCCAAGCAGTTCAGAAAATGGATGAGAGGACGGAGGGCTCATAGTTCAGCCAGGCAGATGGAATCAAATTCATCCAGGAAGCAACCGGAGCAGTCTCTCCTTCCTGATCAATAACACTATTGAGTATAATGGTGCAATTAGAGCCTGGGTGGACCCCTGACATCAGTCCACCCTACACACATGTGTCCTCGCATGCTGCTGCTTTGGCCACCTTTACTCATACATCAGACGGTGTTTGACTGGTAGTGAGCAGCTCATGGATATCAGATTGCTGCTGTGAAGCATAGTGAGTAGGCAGGGAGCATCAAACAGCCGGGGCAGTTCTCTGTTCAAATCCTGTTTTCTGTAGTTCACGTAATGTTGTGATATTTTTTTTTTTGTCTCTCGATGGATGATACAAATCCTCGACTGCCGCTATGCACGTCTCATCACAGTCATTCACCGAGCTCACTGAAGGAGCTTTAGCCTCGTAATCGTTTCACTTGGTTAAGTGTGATGGCAGTCTCATAAGTCACCGGCGTAAAGCAGCTGCAGATTTGATATTAGAGTGTAAGGAGAGGCTCGCTAATGCAGACTGGTGTTTGCCTCGACCCGGGGTTCAGTCTGCCAAGTTAATGCTGATGTGCTTTCAAATAGCAGGACTCAGAGCTTTCGCCGCATCAGATATAATGACATGACCTACATCCACCCCGGGGCGCCAGCACTAATGCACCGCGGGAGAAACATGGACCCTGTGACTCAGAATACACACTCAGCCGCACACGCCTTAGCATGTACGGATTAATGGGACAGATGTATAGTCATGGGATCACACACACACAGCCAAGGAGGATTAGCATTTGGTTTATTTTATGTTTTGAGCATGAGCCACGGATACACTCTGATGCCTTGAATTGTAATTCTTAGTTGTTGGTATTTTGATAGGAGCTTGTGTAGTATTCAAACAGCTGTTGACAAGTAAGTAACCAGTGGTTGGGGTGCGTGTGTGTGACTGCTTTTGATTTGAATTCTAGTGCCATGCTGGAAACCTCCCATTGCACTGTTGAGCAACTTGACGAGTGTACTGCCCTACAGAGTCTTGCCGCATTGGAGTGTTGCCTGGAACGACACACTAGCATTTTTACTGCATCAGTGTCATAGCAGCCTCCCGTCACCTCTCTGCACGCTCACTGCTCCTGACTGCGGTTTCAAAGCAGGCCCGCCGTCTTTTCAGTCCGAGCCTGGAGCCTGATCCACTGCCTGACTAATAAAAACAGCCATAGGTGTACTATAGATCCCCGTCAGGGACTCTTGAGTATTAATAGCAGAGCAGGCTGTCCTGACATGGCATTGCATGCTCAGCTGTTTGATGTCCGCCCCTCTGGAAAGTGTACACCAGTCATGTGGCGCTTAAACAAGATCAATCACTGTCTATGATGTCACATATCTTGAAATACTACTTAGCCTAGCACATTCAGACACATTTACTTTCCAAACAGTTTGAATCTTGAGGAAATAATTGCTGATTTCTTCTAGGAGATGTGAGAGTGAGAAGTCAGGTTGGGTTTGAACCGGAACGAAGAAGCTCCCATCCTTACCTGTGCATCGACTTCAGAACTCTTCACAGTGAGTACAAATAAGTTGCCTATCAGCCATAGACATTCTCAAACACTGCTACACTGATGTCTGTGCACGGCTCTCATGCTGTATCTTTACATGATGAAAAAGAAGGAAGTGGGAGGCTCTTTATCGGAGCTTTGTGCGTCCATAAGTGATTAAATAACCTCTTTAAAATGTCTTTAGAAAGTGTGTGTGTGTGTGTGTGTGTGTGTGTGTGTGTGTGTGTGTGTGTGTGTGTGTGTGTGTGTGTGTGTGTGTGTGTGTGTGTGTGTGTGTCCACTGACAAAGCATGTCTGCTGTGTGATCCCAGACGAAAGGCTTATGAGTGGGCGGCTGTGTCAGCAGCCACTGTTTGCATATCGCCGTGTTGGTGTCACATCCCTGCCAAGTTTGTGTGACCCGAATGATCCTCAGGGCCTAATGATCTTGTGAAATTAACCTTGTTAGATATTTGACATGTTTTTGTGTTTGCAGCACGGCCGAGCTCTGGATCCACGTCAGCGGAGTCCTCGCCTGAGAGGAGGGTCCACAGACTGCTCAGCTTCCAGAGGTACCTGCACTCCTCCCGGCTGCTGCGGGGCATCCCCCAGCAGATCCCCCTCCACATCCTGGATGAAGACTACACTGGACAGGCCAGAGTATGACACACGCATTATATATAATGATACTACAGTAAAACACATAAAAACCGAACTTATTTATTTTGTTGACATTTCGAATCACTAATTCTGCACTTCTCTCTTTCTCTCTTTCGTAGTGCATGCTGGAAAAAGTCGGGACCTGGAATTTTGACATCTTCCTCTTCGATAGGTTGACAAACGGTATGTTAAACATGACCATAAATACTATTCAGAAGATGTTTTTAAAAGTCCTGTGACGCAGCACTGAGGGCATTTAACCAACCTTAGATTCCATGTACACCAATGGTGCCATCTGTTGGATTCTGGCCGACACAGAGGATTCACCCAATGACGAATAATCCTATAATCAAATCAGTCAATTTGAGATCCCGTCAGTTTGAAAAAGATGTTGTTGTTTTTCCATTGCCGCTTTAGGGAAGAGAATAACTTCCTCAAACTAAAACAAACAGAAATGTCATATCTCATCGCTACACCGATTTTCACGGTTTCAAAAGAGATGCACGAACCAGCTCACTCTGTTCCTCTTGTTTAGGGAACAGCCTGATCACCCTGACCCTCCACCTGCTGAACCAGTACGGCCTGGTGGAGCTCTTCCAGCTGGACATGCTCAAACTGTGGAGGTTCCTAGTCATGGTCCAGGAGGACTACCACAGCGACAACCCCTACCACAACGCTGTCCACGCTGCCGACGTCACACAGGCCATGTACTGCTTCATGCAGGAACCCATTGTGAGACACGAGAATGAGTATAGTCAATGTGTAGTTTCAATACAGGAGTATTTTGTTGATTAATCATCATGATATGTTGTTGTTAATGCAGCTTGCCAAGTCTCTGACCTCCTGTGACATCCTGCTGGGACTCCTCGCCGCCGCTACACATGACCTGGACCATCCGGGGGTCAACCAGCCTTTCCTCATCAAGACTGACCACTATCTCGCTACACTCTATAGGGTACGACCACGTAACAGTCTTTAACCTGCCAGAAATGACCCGATGGATGTACTGAAGTTACATTTGTATGATTTATTTCTTCATGTGCAGAATAACTCGGTTCTGGAGAACCACCACTGGAAGTCAGCAGTGGGCCTGCTCAGAGAGACCGGGCTCTTTTCCCATCTGCCCGCAGAGGACAGGTCAGTCTGACACTGAAGCCATGTCAAGTGCAACGGTAGAAACTTGAAGTTATTTCAGAAGGCTTCACTGATTGGGTAATGGAGAGACTTCCATCCAATGTCAGTGCTCAACAATGTGGGGCTGTATGAAACTTGGCAAGCTGAACACATTCTGAGAATACTCTGAGAGCTCTTAACATTTCGAGCAATGAGTCCGAGCTTAGAAGGGATTTAAGAAGGATTCTCAGAACCACTCTAAACAAGGAAGGGACAGAAAGTTTTACCGTGAGGAGCTGCTGTTGACCCGGGTGCTCGTTATGATGCGTTCTTTAAAAAAGCTTTGATGGTTGCAAAATACAACAAAATAGAAAATCACTAGATATAATGTTATGGACGGCTGTTTCCGAAAAAGAATACAAAATATCCTCAAGGAAAGTCAAAACTACAAGATAAAAATTTGAAATTATGAGGAAAAAGTTCCATATAATGGCCATAAAATAAAGACTTTAAGAATAGGTTTAACCATAGATTTGATTCTATAGACATGGTGAAATGACAATGACTGTTTTATGTAAGGGCCATCTCTGTTCAAAACCACTTTTGTAGAGTAGCTTTTAAAATGTTGAAAACAGTCATCTTGTTCCTAATACTAAGAATTCAGCGTTTAGATTTGATATCTCCTACCACTTTCTACAATGCTTGTAAAAGTCTTCAGCCTCTTGAACGTCCCTCCCTACTCCTATCAGTGTTCCACCTCACTCACGGTACGTCCACACAGCAGCTCTTGAAAATCTTGGAACTGGGCGTGTCTGAGAGCTTGGGGATTTTTTAAGACTAACAACCAATCACATGAATCTCCCGCCCCCGACATACAAAGCAAAAAACCGCGGGGATTTTATGCGTTACACCCACTGTCTCTGCCACCTCCCTCCATGCCTGGTTCCTCCGGTTTGTATCCCGGTAAATAGTTCTGGTCGTAAAGAACCGGGTGATTTGCTACCGTAATATCTCGTTTGGAATATGAGGAAATGAACTGCGGTCTGTCTCTCCCAGCTTGCACGTGAACCGTAAGCGAAAAGCGTGCTTGACGTACCCTCCCCTCTCTAAGAGGTCCTTAAAGGTCCTTAGTTTCAACTCTGGTACAAAAGTTGAAAAACTCGACTCGACCACTTCAGTCCGTACTTAGGCAAATACGTCTTTACTGGTCATGTTCGCATCTGGTNCTGAAACGTCACTATGTGAGCATGCAGCCACATTCTGTTGTATACTTAAATTATTGTATTTATTATGTGATTTGGATTCATTCCAATGTCAATCACATGTAATGACATGTGATTGACATTGGAATGAATCCAAATCACATAATAAATACAATAATTTAAGTATACAACAGAATGTGGCTGCATGCTCACATAGTGACGTTTCAGGTCTTTTTAATGCACGCCTACTCTAATGTAAAGCTCTTTGGGTCTAGAAAAGCGCTATATAAATCCCATTTATTATTATTATTACTTGCTGCCTCCATTCCTACCTGGCAGCGGAGGTCTCAAAGCCTTTCACATTCTCCAGCAGGATGTAACGGGGCAGCCTGCACAGCCTGAAAACATTATTGTTGAGAAAACGTGTCAGTTAAACGTTCACAAAGTTATAACTAGTTACAAATAATAACTGTGTTCTTGGGCTTGGCTAGACTTTGTGATTTCAATATGAAAATATGTTTTGATCAAGGTTGACAGGAGGGCATTAAAAAGTTGAATCTGGGAATAAAAAGAGACCTTGGCAGAAGATCTAGGATGTAGAGGAAGCTCTTGGTTCTGGGGTCATTAATGTCACCCTGAAGTCCTATCCTGCACAGAGAGAAGGATCACTTTTTCAGAGGAAAACCTTTTGAAATTGATTAAATACATGTAATAGTGATTTAGAAGAAGGTTACTATGATAACGTTTAGGTAGAAAACATGTTAACTTCACAAAAAATATTTATCTGACTGAAATCCCAAAGCACAAGACCTACCTGGTGAAAGGCTGGCAAGGAGGGCTCATCAAAATCATGTCAAAAGATAATTTATTGAAGTCCTCTAGCGTTATTCCCTAAAGGGTAAAACAAAATACAGAAAATTAGAGTTTTCAAAGGTTCTATCATTACCAACAAAACCAACACCAACAAACTATGTGCAATATATAAATGGTGTTAATAACTGTGTAATATATACCTGGCTGCTAAATCCTTAGAACTGTTACAGGATATGTATAAATTATGTAACTTTTTTAATGCATGTCACATATTTAACATATGTAACATTAAGCTGTCAGTGGCTCTTTTTCCTGCTGTAACTACGCAAATGTCCCCTCCGTGGGACTAATAAAGGTATTCTGATTCTGATCTCTGTAGCTTTGTTTGGATGCATGCTGTTATACCCAAACGCTCCACTCACCTCAATGGTCTTGTTCCAGAGGGGGGTGTCAGGGTAATTATGTGTGTAGATCTCATTGGCTGTGGTGTTGATGTCGATGGCAGCCACGACCTCAGCATGTATGCCACTCTCTGGAGGAAGAAAAAACTGAAAATGAACTACAGGAAAATAATCAGCTACTGTTTCCCTTTACGCTTTATTTTTTAGCCCAACCCAAACCAATATGCGTAAAATAATCTCATTCCTCCTTTCTCAGAATTTTTATTTTTGTACCATTAGTTGTTTATAACACTTTGTCAATGGAACACCATAATATATGATCCGACTGTGGACTGGACAGCTCAAGCTGAAATGGCATACAAATCGTCACATACAAATTATTATAGATTATGGGGGACTGCAGGCTGGGGTATGGTTGTATAAAGACTAGTTGTCCACACAGAGTCCTCTTAAGGTTCCATGTGGATATGATATATCAGGATTTGGACACTTTAGGACTCCCAGGAACATTTGTATTCAGTCATTCAGCCCTGTAGCGTGATAGAAACATTTCCAATCTCCATCCTGAACGATTTATAACTTTTAAAGTATCAGTAGCAAACTAAAATCAGTATTTAACAACGATAAACTAACCTTTGAGAGCATAATGCATCCCTCCTATCCCACTGTACAGCTCGAGTACACGCAGACTCTCCATGGCACATTTCTGTTTACAGTTTTTCTTCTTCGTGGTATTTTATTAACGTTGTCAGAAAACGGAACAGCGCATTACCGCCATCATGTGGTATGGAGACTGAACTGCACCCACAACTGTTGAAGAGAGGTGTGACTGCTACATACTACAAACGTGTCTATTCCTCAATTATCTCCTACACCGTAGGAGCAAAAATGTACCTCATTATTGACACATATCAAATATTTGCTGTAGTGATCCCAATTGTGATAATACACAGGATAAAGGCACATAAGCAATATTGTAGACTTCTATATATCAAGCAAATATTATTACTCTTAAAACAATTAATACAAAGGTAAAACTGAGATTGAAATACACGTTTTTTCTGATTTTGTAACACAAATAAACAGTGTTTTCATCCAGCTTCCATCAAGATAAAGTAACAATTGGTAGGAAAATAACCTTTGTTTGTTGTTTACTTATTTTTGACATAATTACACCCCCCAACCCTGCAGCTGCTGTCTCTCTCCTGGATCTTGGTTCAGCTTTAGGACTGAAACAGAGGCTGCTGTGGAGGTTTAGGAGCTCTTAATTTGACGCGGAGGCGCGGCTTCAGGAACAGGAAGTATCCTATTAAGGAATGGTGTCTCACAAATAAACTTCCGGAAGGGTGTCAGCTTCAAGCGTACTCTATGAGGAATTAAAAAAAGCTAGTATACATTTCTGATTTCATTCATCTTTTACAAACGGTAAGTAAATAAGTGTTTTTCTTTGTGTTATCATACATAGCACATTCAGTTTCTCTTGTAGTCGACTGAGTGAGTTAGGGTCTCTTTATCGTTACACTGTAGCTAACGAAGGACGACTTTTACAACTCAGTAACACGCTGTACTGTTTGTATATCAATGCTTTTCAGAAAAGATGTCCAAGTCTTTGAAGAAGATAGTGGAGGAGAGTCGGGACAAGAACATCCCGGAGGTGGAGATGTGCGACAGAGGCATTTCCAACATGTTGGACGTCCCAGGACTGTGTAAGGCTTTTCATTTCACCACAACACTTTAGCGAATATGCTGCTGTTAAAACCGCCTTTATGCTAACCTGTTGTACATAAAGAATACTATACATACTTGTGAAAAACGTAGACTTGATAAAATAGGTAAAAACTGTGGTATTAACGTATTACTCAGTGATGGTGACGTCACCCAGCCTGCCTTGTCTGCAGTGTTGAAAAAACTTTATTAAAACCGTTAGCTTGTTAACCAAATAACACTTTATTATTATTGTCCAATAATTTAATCCTGAAAATCTTTAATATTAGCACTGAACCAGATCAAAATGCAAATAAATCCAATAATGTAATAACTTGATCTTATAATGAATGTATTATTTAGTAAGTAATTACCATATCAGCTAGTTTATTGCAGTATTTGGTTAAGTTATTACATTTCTGATCAGGTTGAGTTCACTTGTTATTAAATCATTAATTGAATATAATACATTTAGTAAAATAAATGATCAATGAATGAATACCACAAATCAAATACAGCAGTTATTACTGATGTGAACAACCCTTAATATTTTAGTTTTGCATGTAACATAGTGTTCATGATGAATCAGTGTGTAATAAATAGCCATGCCCGGACCCGTTTTAACAATAGCTGACATAACATTATACACATATACTGTATTTGTTGTGGATGATGCAGGGAATGATGTTATTACTTTAGTTAGTGGCCATAAAAGTCTGCTTGTTCCTGAAAAATAATCACTTTTATGCTTGTATATTATTCACATCTGTTCTTACAAAGTAGTATGTATCAGTAGGATGCATGTGTGTCAGTTGTCTGCTGTGCTGTGTTGACTTGATGTTTCCTGTGGTTTCAGTCACTCTGTCTAACATCACTCAGCTGGTCCTCAGCCACAACAAGCTCACAGGTAAGATCCAGTGAGACTCATAAAGTGTGTTATGTTATTTTGTAAATAATAGGAGGACTGATAGGAAGAATGTATATTGTGGTCATCTTTAGTCCATTGGAGTGAAGGGATGCAGGGATGCTTTGCACCAGCAGAGGTCACCGTAGACTGAACGTAATGCAATCAGTACTTAGTATCCAGACATGTAAGAAAAACCCTAGATAAAGGGGATTGTTAGACCAAATGAATACAGTAAATAACCTGTTAAGGTGGGCATGATTTCTGTTTGATGTCGTTGATCAAATATATTTGAGATGCACCTTGTGATCCACCTTCTGACTTCTAATCTAAGATGAAGAGATAACACACTGCGGGGTTATTTATAGCCCCGATCAGACAGAAATGGGGGATAACATAATTGGCGTAGTTACCGACCTGCAAGCACTGTAGAGGTATGCTCAGTAACTCCTGCCTTGTTAGGTAACTCTCAGCCTGAAGAGTGAGGAGGGAGCGGGAAATATTGGATCCATCTGCTCCTCTCCTTGATCCTATCCAGTGTAGTTTGGTGATTTTACAAATACAGCTGCAGCAGCCAACAGGAAGGAGGCGATGTTGCTGCTGTATGGACGTAGTGGAGAGTTATTGTAATATTTAGAAAGTTTAGCAGGGAGAGAGGGGGCTCGACTGGCTGCTGATGGTGCTAACATGACTGTCCTGTTTCAAAACAGTGATGATGACGATGTTAAAATGTCATAACTTGATTATCAGGGGGGGGGGACCTAATTCTCCTGATTGTGTCCCAATAATCATCAACATATGCGATGTCTCTATAACAAACTGAAATCACTTTACTAAATATTAGGAGAGGTAAGAGCTTACACAAGGATAATCAAATAAAATCATAAGAATGTCTGGAGCAGTATAAATTAAAACTAACAGGGTTTACATGAATAATTATGTTTTATGTATTTATTCACGTCAATTTGGAAGGTACCAGGGTTATCATGCATCATAAGGCGCCCTGCTTAATTTTTTTTATGAAAAACGTATTCTGTTCTTTTCTTACATGAGAATTCCAGTATTTTTATCAAATCGGTTTATTATTGTATGATTTTCACTAGGGATGTCCCGATCACCTTTTTTTGCTCCCGATCCGATTCCGATCATTTGATTTTGACAATTTGCCGATACCGATTTTTCCCGATCCGATCTTTATGCAATGCATTAAGAGNATTCTTTATGTACAACAGGTTAGCATAAAGGCGGTTTTAACAGCAGCATATTCGCTACTTAAACGTATACCCACACACACACACACACACACACACACACACAAATCACCCCCTCAGGCTGTTCCAGCTCAGATTTGGTTCCAGCAATTATTTTGGACCTTTGAGCCTTTCTGCTTGATTTGATTCAAAAGGCTGTATGACAAGGCAGCAACAAATCAATGGATCAGAGAGATGTTTTAAAGGGTGGTATAACTGCAGGTTTAATCAGACCTCCGTTTGATACTTCATTTCCCTTTTTCAGACCTCAAAACTGGGCTGTACAGGTCCTGACGCTGAGAGTTGTCATTTGAAAATAAAAACTCTCACTCTCATAAAGATGTGGAAGTGTGTTTGTGTAACAAGTAGGTGAGGGAGGTTCACCTGTTGGCTGGAGATGCTTCATGTGTGTGTTTGATGTGAGTGCAGGCTTACACAGTGTCAGTGACAGGAGGATTAGGAGGGAAGCCTTGGTGTGTATTGATCCACAGACAAACATCATCTGGATAGTGTAAGCCCCCTACTGTTATTCAGGCTGCGCATTCACTTTTCATCCGCTGTTTATTTTGCTGCTGCCTGTGCGTGTGTGTGTGTGTTTACCAGAGGGACATGCATATGTGTGTTTGAACCTTGTAAATGCTTAATCTCATTTGTCAAACACACATAATAGAATTGAAATTGAACATTCGTCCCTGCGACCTGTCACACATACACACACAGGCAGAGATGTGTGCATACACTCAGCCGCTGTCTCTTACATCATCAAATCCCCCCCGGCTGCTAATCTGTCCGTCCTTGCTTCCTTATTTATTTGGATGTGGTGAGGGTGAGTCCACAAGGGCGAGCAACAAACAAACAGCAAGAAGCTGTAGGACAAGCTTGGGAAGACGAGGTCAAGAATTATGAGTATGGTCGCACATTTCAGAAGATTTCTGTGTTTGGTATAACAAGAGTGTCAGGGAGGGTTAAGCTAAATTCAGCTAATAGGCACTACTAGCTGGAAACGGAAGTGGCATTTTAACAATGGCATTCCTTTTGAATCCAAGTATGTGTAAAAACAACAACAAAAAGTCACAAAAATACATGTTTCAATCAAATCAAATCACATACTAATATTTAAATGTCAGTATTTTGTAATCCTTGACTTTGATGTCTTGTTTATGCTAGCTTTTCACCTTCATATGTATTTTGTTCAACTATCAATGCCTCTTACATAACCGTGCTTTTGTGGATTCCAGAGTTTGTGTTCAAATGATTTTAAAGTGTTTTGTCCAATAAAAAAGCACCAGGCTATAAAGTAGCAGACCTCTTACCTTGTTATCTATTGTCAAAAAACCCAATAAACTAAGCCCAAAAAACCAACAATGTCTTACAACTACTACTATGCTTGGGATATACAGACAACATTTTTGATTTGAAGTTATTAAATGGCAGCCTCATGTCACAAAAAGGCAGTAACAGTGGATCAGAGAGTTCATTACATTAGTGATCCACCTAACTGAAACCAATACAACGTGCTCTAAAAGGCTAAATACGGGACTCCAGTCCACACACACACACACACACACACACACACACACACACACACACACACACACACACACAGTGACAATAGGTCCTCTTTCAATGGAAGCCCTTTGCTTTAACAT